TATGCAAGTTCATTTAAACTAAATTTGGTCAATCATATATCAATAATATTTGGTTGAAAAGACCAGATTTTTTCATGCAACTGTTTCTGAGATATTGCCATTTTGGTGAAAGCTCTTGAATTCAATCACGTATTCGCCATTTTGCCTGTCCACTTTGGGGGTAGAAACATTGTAACAGCTTGCGCGTTAATGAGTTAACATTGTCAGTACACATCAAATTGGCAAAGTTCACCATAATCAAATAAATTTAAATATACTATATACGGTATAAAATTGAATTTCATACCTTTGTTGACGACAGCAGACGTGGAAGCTCCTGAAAAGGAGAACAAATGTATTAGTGGTGTTTGACAATGTTACATAGCAACGGAAAACACACAACGAATGCTTACCTTCGTTCACCAGTGTCGAAGATCTTGTAGGTTCTTAAAAGAAAAAGACTTGTTTAAATACAAAGTTAGTAATCGAAATATTTTCATTTATACTTACCCGATTCATCAGTTCTTTGCCTTTTCGCTCGCCGAGTTGAAGTCTTGGTATGTTTCCCACTGCCAACTTGATGGACATCGCGCTGATGTGTTTGGAATGGGAATATGTTTTGAAACACTTCACCACATACAGTACAAGTATATTCGCGTTCCGCGCCATGTCGCTCGTGCATTTCCATGTGTCTTGTAAGGTCATCCTTGAAAAATAAATAAACACACTATAGTTCGAAATATACAACACATATCTCAACATAGCTCTTTTCAATTACCTTTCAATCAAATTTCTTGTGACATTTCGAACACTCGTATTCTTTCTCGCTGTGAGTTTTCATGTGGCGTTACAGATTATCCTTAAAAGAATATGAAGTATAATATTAGGGAACGGCATATATCTACACATATTACACAATGTCTATACATATACTTGTTATCGTTTATATATCAATACAAAACTTTACATATCATACCATACGGTCAAATTTCTTGTGGCAACGCGAACACTCGTATTCTTTCTCACTGTGAGTTCTCTTGTGCCGTTTCAGATTACCTGCATGTTTAAAGGTCTTACCACATTCATCACAACATAACCCCGACTTCTCCGATTCTTCTTGCCAGTCATTCCATTCGGTGAGAGCAGCTTTTTGCGTCTCTGGCGACCAGGACTCGAACATTTCATCTGTAGCAACGGCACAAAGCTGGTGATTGACCTCGTCATTTTCCAACTCTGCCATCAATTGATCTCTCCTACAAAATGTAGAAATCGATTACATAAACAAAACTCTCGCTATTATATTAATTTTCAGTTTAAATTAAACTTAGCACATGTTTTCCCGATGTTGTTGTGCCATTCTTTCTCAAGTAATTTTCTTCATGAACCAAAGCATAATTTAACCAAACTTCAACTAAGTGTTGTCAAATGCAGAACTATGCTTATTACAAGACGCTTGTCAATTTTATACAGACGCTCGTTAAATCAAACAACCAATCATAGTAAGCCAATTGTAATCCCTCTATTGTATGACACATGTGAAGGGACGCTAAAAAATGCATAATCAGCAAGTTTTGTCCAATTTCGCCCGAACAGGCCCGTGTGGCGTCATTGCATATAATTATGATGTATTGTATACTAATTATGAGGTGGTGGACATCCACCACCTCACACTCCACCACCTCACTCCTCAAAAATAAGGGTTGAACAGTACCTATATTACTACTTATACATGGGCTAACAATATTTAAACAGAAATAGCAGAAACACATAATACAAGATTTAGTAATACTTAAATGTTTTTAGCTTTGTGCTGCTTATTTCTTATATAGGAGTCAATGGTTTGGGTACAACGTGCCCACATACCACTTAACTGCTCAGGCGTGTCCGGATAATATCTGTACACATACTTCTGTATTTTGTTGAGTTTGCCCTTCGTCAAGCTTTTCTTTCTTCACCAAACCACGACAATTTCGTCCTCTCATTTCATCCAAAGTAAATAGAGTTCTGAACAAAACACTTGCAAAAGCTGTTGGGCCAGATCTTTTAAGTTTGATTGCTGCCAATTCGTCGTTGCTTACTAAGTCTGACAATGGTGGCGGATAATTAACAGTTATTCTACGAACTCGAGTCGAATATGAGCTGATAGCCGATGAGGCGCGTAGCGCCGAATCGGCTATCGCTCATATTCGATGAGAGTGAGTGGAATAACTGTTTTATTATATACACAAGGTCTGAATTCACAGACTTTGCTTTTCGAATATTTCCAATATTTTTCTATTTTGTTTATGTTTTTATCTTCGCTCTTTCGGCCGATTATTTTTTCAAAAATATATATTTTCAACCATTTTAAATATTAAAAATTTATTTGCTAACCTGAAAACAATTTGTGGGAGTTTTTCATTGTGTTTTTAATCCTGTGAAGGCAATAAAAAGCGACAACTTGCCGTTTTCTCGTTTGCAAAACATCGTAAATTCAGTTTGGCCGCCATTTTGTTTTTCTCTACTAGCAGGATATGAGCTAATATCCTGCTAGTAGAGAACCAATCAGATTGCAGAATACCTTATATCCAGACCTTGTGTATATAATAACATTCGTTATCCCACCAAGAGCGATATTTTGTTCATCACAGGGAGTGTTGCTGGAACTTGGTGTCATCGTTAAAGGAGCCAGATCTTTGCTAGAACAGTATTTGCTAGACCTGGGATATTGTTGGTGGCATTTGGTGTTGATGGTAATGTCCGATGGAGATGGTATATTTCCTACTGGGGAGATTGATGGTTGAGGAGCCTTCCCAACACCAATTACCGTGGCCTATATAATAATGGTTACAGAATTTCTAAATTCTTCAAACTTCAAACATTTTCTGGGAGAAAATTCCTCCTGACCCTTGTAGTAATGCACCCCCCTCTGGAAAACTTCCACCCCCTCTAACAAATCAGGCCAGATCTTTCGTGGCGATGTTTCTCTCATTAGACCGCAATAAAAAAATATACCCACCAATTTATCCTTAACTGCAGGACGATTTTCTTTATTAGCATCACTCTTTTTCTTTGTTTTTCTTTTTGCATGGTTTTTCTGCCTGAAGTTGATCTTCCTTTTCACCAGCTTTAGTTTCTCTTTCCAGTGTATCGTCTTTCCCTTCAACTGACTGACTGTCCTTAGTGGTGGAGTAACATTGATCTCTGCAAACAGCTCAGCTCTTGACTTTATCATGCAGTTTCACCCACTTCTTAGCAGAGAGGAGTAATCGTCTGGGATGAAAACATATAGGATAATTAACTTTTTTGTCAACATCAAATCCTTGTTTCTTTTATCTGATTCTTATTACAAATCTATCAAACAAGGTTTATTTGTTGTTATTTGTTTATTTTGAGTAAAATATAAAAAAATATGTCCATTCAAATGACATGTGGTGAGTCAAAAATCGCTGTTAACTTTGGGTCCTGACTAAAATACCTGATAACTTCTTTATTTCTCAATCTATTATAACAAATTATATTATAACAAATTATATTATAACAAATTATATATCAATAGAAAACTCATATGGTGTGCTTTTCCAACAGGGTAAGAATTAAAACCAAATAAGTTATATATTCAGCATAATTAGCTGTTTGTCATATATCAGCATGTATACCAACAATAATGCAACAGGGCTTTCCTCTGGGGGCACAGGGTCATGCCAGCATGTTGCCCATGTGAATCTGTGCGCGCAATTTATCGCGCACACAAATTTGATTTTTAAGGATAATTGCACATTACAATTTTGACACATGGTGAATTAAGATATCATGTAACAAAACCAAATTTCATTTGACAGTTTAGAACTTTACATTATTTAACAGAGAGTGCAATATTATTGGTATTCTTTCAAAGTTAGGGTGTTTATAATTGAAGATGGCCAGCAAAGGCAATAAAGTCGATCTGGCAACTTTTATGAAGTGGGGGAAAATGGTGTTATTGGCTAGAAGATGATCAACGATGGGCAACGTTTGTGTTAATTTTATTTGGTGCAAAGTTTGTCAGCGCAATGAAAATGCTTTATTGTTAAGTCGCAACTGTGCGATGCAACAGAGGTATGGTCACCAGCTACTGCTAAGCTACAGATGACATTAGAAAGGGTTCAGAGGCGTGCAACACGCTGGATCCTGAAAACGAATGTCGGAGAGATGCCTTATGAAGATAGGCTGGCAACCCTAAACCAACTACCACTAGTTTATGATTGAGAACTTAGAGACCTTGTTTTGGTTTATAAATCTATCTTCGGTTGTATTGACTTGAACATTGAACAGTTTGTATCTTTTGTGCAACATAGTCGTTCTCGCTGTCAAAATCCATCCCTTGTTTTGAAACCTTTGTGCTGTAAAACATCAACTTTTCAGGCTTTGTTCTTCAACCAAGTAGTTAAGCCTTGGAACTTTGTTTGTAAAATAGCCTCCACAGATAAATTTGCCTAAGTATTTTTAAACTCTTCCTGCATACAACATACTCCAACCTGGTCAAGGATACTTTCAATATGGATATGCCATTGCACTTGGTCACTCGCATGCGACTGCTCCTGCCATTGTTCCCAAACTGCATTATGTATATATTTACTGTAAATACATCTTTTTTTCTTTCTTTTTGTCATCTAGTCACACTTTTATTTAGGGGTTGTGCCTTGCATGGGTCTCGTTTTCCCGTTTGCACTAACCCCATTGGATGTTCACCTTGTAATCTAGAATTTCTATGTCCAATAAAGCTTATAAAATAAAACTGCATTGACATGTCCTGCTTGATGTGTTATTGTTTTGTCTAGGTCAATCTGTATATAAAATAAACAACTAATAATCACAGGTGCAGTTTGATTTGCCTGCGCGCACATTTTTTTGAGTTGGAAAGCCCTGATGCAATATGCATGTCGGCTAAAATAGATATGTACATTTTTGGGCATAAATTTTAGGTTAGAAAACAATATTTATAAAGTTGTTATGAATAGTTATGAATGCATATATATGGATTAAATTTGTGGGGAGCTCAGAACAAGGAAACTGTAGTATAATATAGTATAGTATAGAACAAAAACATTGCAACCGTGGACACTGTACTGTAGTATATAGTAGACTTTGAACTACAATACTACTGATGAGTCTATGTTATTAGCAAAACAATTGATTAATTACCTTGTTTTTAACTTTACATAATAATGATTCATATTTTTTACATTCCTAAACTGTGATGTAACCCTAAAGATGCCGTTTACATGGCAACTGATTGTTGCATTTACGCCAGACAAATATATTTTTTCACAATTTCAAACTAGGTAGACAAAGTTTAGTGGTAAAAAAACGTTGCCCGGGTAGGCTGGTCCTGCATGTAAACATAAAGCGTATCTGAACAAATATTTGCCCAGTTTGTCTAGTGCCATGTGTGGATAGCACTATTCACCAGATAATGAAAGTCTTAATCCATATACCTAGATAATATCATGATTGCGGGTATTCCCTTTGTTCTTGCGTTAAAAACTAATACACCTCATTATATTCATTTTTTCTAATCCTACCCGCTTTTACGTCATGTCAGGTAGAATTAGTTCTAATCCTACCCGAAACGATGTCAAAGCGGGTACGATTAGAAAAACTGAATATAAGTGAAGATATCTGAAATCCCCAAAACTAAACAAAGACATGGAGAACAATTATACCATTTAATTTATACCATTATTTATTGTTAATTGGTTTTTAATGCCCTGCGAGAACAATGGGTCATGACCCTCATCGAGCGGTGCCCAAGGGAATTTTACTAAACGACCCTCATCGGGCGGGACTTTTTAATAGCTAATTTGCCTCTTTTTATGCTATTACTTATAATTAAATCTTAGTTCAGGGTAGCCGTATGTAATTATGTGTTGGAAATTTATAGAAAAAGTTATTCATCTGGGAAATATAGAAATGCTTACAATCTATGAAACTACTGACTCGGAGCCCAAAAATAATAAAAGAAACCTACAAAGCCTTTGACGCCATTTCTCATTGAAACCTTTTGAAACTTGAACAACATGGTATCTCCAGTTCATTGTTGAACTGGTTCTCCGACTATTTGTGCGAAAGATGTCAGTGAGTAGTGGTTTCTCAATGTAATAGCAGGGGTGCCACAAGGCAGCGTACTCTGCCCACTGTTGCTCTTGATTTGTGCAAACAACTTTCCAAAGGCGCTGCCTTTATAGCACACAGTGCCCATGTTTGCTATCGTCAAATTACCCAACCTCGAGATAGAGATCTTCAGAATGACATAAATTCCCTTCACCAATGGCCTAAGACATGGAGACTTAAGGTTACAGGACACCCTTTTTGGCGTTTTGTGGAAAATCGCTACTGCGCGCTCAAAATCAGTCTGATTTTCATCAAATTTTTACCAAATGTCAGCCAGTGCATGCAAAATATGATAAAGTTGTAAAATTGACAAACAATAAAATAATGTAAGAACTATTCAGGAAAATCATAAGTCGGCGGTACCTTTACACTTTTGAGTTATGTCCCTGCTGGTTTTTAAGATATATTTATGAAAATATAATTTTTATGCAGTAAAATAGTTGTTCTAAAAAATTGTGTTTGGAAAGTTTTGTTTATTTCGTCATTCCGCTGATATGGCGATTTATTTGACGACTGCAATATATTTCTGAACCGTTTGTGTGAATTGCTCATTATTATTAAAATATCCAAAATTAGAACAAAGCCAAACACAATTTTGAAACTGACGTCTTTAGTTATGTCCTGTGAAAATTTGAGAAAAATTCGTTAAAACCTGCAGGAGCATAACTCGTTTAAAAATCAGTAATTGCCGTAAAATTCTTCGGGAAAAAATTGAATTTGAATATTACATTTTCAATGTTTTTCTTATTGCAAGCGAAATTGTATTTTATTAAATAACTCTGCGAGTTTTCAACATTTTTCGTCCAAACTTGGTCAGATAGTAGAACTAGTCTAATGCTTTCATCGAAACCAATAAAAACATTTTAGGCAAAATTAACACTCAAAGGTGTTCTGTAACCTTAAATTTCAATGCGAAGAAGTGTGTTGCCCTCAGATTTTCACAAAAGAAAACCTCCATTCCACGTCAAGACTACTCCCTAAACCAGAAACTTATAAAGTCTTCCTCCATATAGAGTGATTTGGGTATCCTGGTGAGCAACAATTTAAAATGGTCCCAACACATCAATATCGTTTCTAAAGCGAATATAATGCTCACCACCATTTGTATTTGTTCGCTCTCACTGATATTATCGTTCGGTTGCGAAGTCTGGGCCCCTCAAGGTCCATCTGCTAATCTGTTTCATCTCGAAGGAATTCAACGTCGAGCAAGAAAGTTTATTCGTCAGGAATATGAATTGTTGTATTTTTTCGCTTGAAAAAACTCTATCTAATCCTCATTTCATACTGGCATGAAATTGAAGACATCATATTCCTCTACAAATGTAAATACAGGATGTATGAACTTGACATCAACCAGTATATTACCCAACCTTTTCACAGATTGGTGTCATCAGCATACAGATAAATTTGTCCGAACAACTCTGACTATCATTTTATATATAAAGTAGAAATAACAGTGGACCTAATACTGATCCCTGTGGTACACTGTGACCAACTTTCATTCTATGTGATATAATGTTGCCTATTTGAGTTGTTTGGATTCTATCTTGTAAATAAGATGAGAACCATGTATTTGTTTTATGTCACAAAAACCACAATAATTAAGTTTACCTAACAGAATGGAATGATCCACAGTATCATATCAAAAGCTTTTTGAAGATCTACAAAAATCCCACATGAGTACAGACTATTATCCATGTTAGATTGTACAGTATTAAGAATATCAAGTATAGCACGTTGAGTTGAGTAACCTTTACGAAAACTATACTGAAAGGAAGACAATATATCATCATTGCTTTCAATAAATGATTCCACTGTTGACACATTAATTTTTCAAATATTTTGTTAGAGTTTGAAAGTAAAGAAATGGGTCTGTAATTATTTACATCTAATTTGTCTCCATCTTTAAATATGTGTATGATTTTTGCCATTTTCAATTTTGACGGGTATTAAACTCCTGTTGAAATAAACATGCTAAATATTTGTGATAATACGTCACCAATAATGCCATGAGCATATTTAAGTAACAGTGTAGAACAAGAGTAAAGCCCACAGGATTTGTTATCAACCGAACTTAAAATTTCCCTTCTGACTTATCGTCCGGCTGACAGAAAAAAGATGCATTTCGTGACTGGAGTTTATCAAGAAAAGTTTTAAAATGTATCTGTGAAGGTGGTAACTTATTTGCCAATTTGCCATCTGCGCAAAGGGGTAATTTAAATGTGATATCCCTGAATGATCCTGAAGAATTACATTATTTTTATGGTCTTTGATCATGGAGATTTCCTTTCTATTTTTCGTTTTGTAGTTAAGAAGGTCATTTATTCCTGCCCAATACTTTTTCGTATTTGTAATATACGAGCATTAAAATAATCGTAATAATACTTCTTTTCGCTTAGTCTCGTTAAACTACATATGCTATTTTTATATAGTTTATATTTAATTTCATTACCAGATGCAAATAATCTGTTTTTAATTTTAATAAAAACTCTTATTCCCTTCGTTATTCATGGTTTGGATAGTTGCTTCACTTTCCACTTTGAAATTACCTTCATAGGTGCATGTTTATTAGCACAATTATTGAAACGATTATAAAAATAAGAAAAAGACCTGTCAACATTCGAATATATAAGGCACTAATCCCAGTCAACTGAAGACAGATCACATATAAAATTATCTGTTGAAAAATTCCGACTCTTGTGTTGTTTGAGTTTTTTATTATATTTACCTGACTTTATAATACAAAACTGAGAAAAATTATCACTGATATCAGAAATAATATTACCACTGACCTTAATTTGGTCTGGAACATTAACAAAAATATTGTCAATAAGAGAAGCAGATCTATTTTGAACACGAGTTTGTTTATCGATTGTCGGAACAAGATAACAGCTTTGGAGCAATAACAAAAATTCTTGACTATAATGACATGTCCTCACATTTTAATAAGTCGATATTAAAATCACCCATAATGAAAATAGTTTTCCCAGAGGAAACAAACTTTTCTGATGATTCTTCAAAGTATTGTTTAAAAATGCTCGGGTGATTTGTGTTGCCTGTAAATAATTCCACAAATAATATTCTTTTCCTTCTCAAAAGATATCTGGATCCACACAGCTTGAAATGCTTCATTTGAAAATCGTTCTAGAACATGATAATTTAATGTTTCATCTATAAACATTCCAGCACCTCCCGAAGCAAGAGGTGTAAGTGCGTGTTCAAAAATATAACCAGAAATATCATCGTTGATTTGAATTTGTAATTTTAGTTTCTGTAACCCCAATAGTATTAGAATGGAAATAAAATTTTCCCGGAGGATAAGGTACTTACCTGAAGGGGGGATGTAGTTCTCCGAGGACCTTCGGAGACTGATAGGAGCAATACTGGTGCAGATCTGCGGCCAGCAGAGGTCTGGAACCCACAAATTTTTTGACATGCGCACTAACCATCCTCTTATTGAGTTGACTGCTGAGGTTTGTATGATCTTACATAGCTGGGAGGGGTGGACTTGGCAATCCACCATGGTAGGGGACCAGTATTGCTCCTATCAGTCTCCAAAGGTCCTTGGAGAACTACATCTCCCCTTCAGGTAAGTACCTTACCCTCCGGGGAAATTTTATTTCTCCTTCGTACCTTCTCCGACTGATACTTGTAATACTGGTGCAGATATACAAAGATAGCTATGTAAATCATGTTGTCATCACTATTGAAGCACTCAAAAGTAAACAGTTATTTTTAACCCAACAATATAAATCACAGTGCATGCTACCACTGTAAGAATACAAGTTTTATATAATACCTTGATTGTCCATAACAAGTATCTTAATTGTTAACAGCCTCAAGTACCTTGTGAGCAAATCGAGCTTTATCAGCTCTTTTGTGGTAATGTTTCTCAAATGTTTGTGCTGAGGACCAGTCTGCAGCCTCCAAAACGACTTCTAGAGGCACTCCGTTGTCGACCACTTCCGAAGTTGATCCAGCTCTGGTAGAATGTCCTGTGTAGCAGACATCCACTCCAGCTAACCGAATCAATGTGCATATCGATCTTGATATGGTTTGACTTCCTACAGGTCTGTATGGATTGACATAGGACAGTAAAAGTTCCTTGTACCGTCTGTGGTTACTGGTGCGTTGGAGATAATGTTCCAAACACCTCACAACACAAATGGAGCAATCTTGTTGATAACGTCCCAGGAATATCTTCCGAGGAGGATGATATGGCCTCGAATTTTTTACGTGAGTGTGAATAATGAACTCACAACTGTCAACTTTCTTTGAAAGATGATCGAGGTGAAGGCAATTTCATGAGCCCTTGCAGCTGAGGTCAATGCCAGTAGAGTGGTTAGCTTCAAACTCAGAACTTTCAGGGGAAGTTGCTCTACAGGTTCTAGGGACGACAAATATCGCAGTACAGGACCCACTTGCCAAGTCGTTCAAATTCGAGGAGTTGCGGGTCGTAGTTGGAAGATACCTTTCATGAAGCGTGATACCAGGGGTAGGCTACCAAGCTGCAAGCCATCAATTGGATCATGCATCTGTGAGATACATGCTTTGTATACACCCACTCTTCTGTGAGCGAGATTAAATTGTTCAGATAGAAAATCTAAAACATCTGCTACAGGAGCTGTTGCCAGGGTCCTTCGTATCTCTTCTGAGTGCTTGTTCGCCAGGAGGCCAACAAAATTTTGCACACCTCTGGTGAAAGGCCTGTTGTTTGCAGATGAGACCTGACAGCGGCCATACAGCTAGTCGGAGGGTTTTCCACATTGGATGTATTGCTTGTTGTTCGAATGGTACGAAGATTGTTCCCTCTGCTATTAGTAACTGAGCTGGAAAATCCACTAGTAGCTCCAGGAGGGCTGGGAACCATGGCTGTCCTGGCCAGGTTGGGGCTATCACCAGTCCCGTTGCTTGGTCCTGTCGTAATTTCTGCAAAATCCATGGCAAGTGCACCTATTGGAGTGTGTATGAACACCGTCCACTGTCCCCAGTGCTGGAGAAAAGCATCTGTTGCTACTGACCCTGGGTATCTTGGTTGTTGATTCGACATGCAAATAGATCCACCTCTGGGGTGTAGAACCTCCTGGTTATCATTTGGAATACTCTCTTGTTCAGAGTCCATTCCGTTCTGTTGTTGAAGTTCCTTGATGCAAAATCTGCTTCGGTGTTCGTCACCCCAGGAACACGTCTCGCTGTAATCCATATCTCCCGAGATATGCAGAAGTTCCATATCTCTAATACCAGATATGCTAGAGTTGGTAAATGTGTCCCCCCTCGCTTGTTTATATAGGACACTGCCGTGGAATTGTCCATAAGCACCTGAATATGGCATGGATGCATGGTGCCCTTGACAAATGCCTGAATGGCAAGGTGAGCTGCCCTCAATTCCAACACATTGATGCGGGCATCTTCTTCCTTCCGCCATTGACCACCCGTCCTTTGGCCCAGAAAACTCCCCCCCCCCCCAACCTTTCTTGGAGGCGTCTGTCGATATTATCATGTCGATTTCTGGAGGGTTCAACACCATCCGGTTGACTTGATTTAGTTGCTCCAAAGACCACCACTTGAGTTCTGAGGATGCTTCGTTCGTTAGAGGAATCTGGAACCGTTTTGATCGTGTGAAGTGACCTTTCCTGTGTATAGCCGCAATGAACATCCGTTGAAGGGCTCGATAGTGCAAGGGTGCTTCCCAAATTCCAATTCGGGCAGTCTGATTCATTCGACCCAGCAATGCTGAAAGTTCCAGCATGGAGCAACACCCCCTGGTCAGGATCTCTTTGCACTCCAACTGTATGAGGCAAAGTTTCTCCAGAGGAACAGCTATTGTCATGTCCATCGAGTTCAGCTGGGCCCCCAGAAAGATGATTGCTTGCATTGGTGATGGTGAGCACTTCTCGAGTTTGATGATAAAACCGAGGTCGGTGAGTAGGGTGATTACAATCTTGAAGATTGTCTGTAACTCTATTGGATCCTGGTGGAAGAGCAATAGGTCATCCAAATATATCACTACTTGTATGCCAGATATTCTCAGGATTGCAATAACTGGCTTGACCAGTTTCGTGAAGGCTCAGGGTTCTGATGATAGACCGAAGGGTAAACACTGGAACTCGTAGGTCACATCTTGAAAATGAAATCGAAGGTACTTCCTGTGTTCCACTGCTACTGGTACCAAGTAATATGCATCCTTCAGGTCCAGTTTCATTAGAAAGTCGTTCGGTTTCAACATTGTTTTTACTAGGTCCAAACTTTCTAGTTTGAACTTTTCTGTGTGGACATATTTGTTCAATGTCTTCAGGTTGAAAACTGGTCGGTTCTTGTTCACCTGCTGTACTATGAACAAGGTTGAAAGGAACTGGTCCTCCTGTTCCACAACCTGATGTACTGCCTCCCTTCGAAACCAGATCCGATATGGCCTGGGATAGTAACAATTGTTGTTCCAAGGATCTGGCCTTGGTCACTCGCTCGCGCCATTGATGAGGTTTCGAAATCAGGGGAATTCGATATCCCCTCACTGTCTCCAAGACTGATCCGTCTGAAGTTATTATCTTCCAATTTTCTATAAAATGTTTCAGTCGACCTGCTGTCTGCTGTTCTGGTAAAGTTATCATGTTTAGTCGAGGGATCATATAGTAAGCTGTGGTTGGGGTTGCCGGGCTCATTGGAAGCCCTTGGTCGCTTAGGGAAGGTTTTTTCCTTGACGAGAAGCTACTGAAATCTGCTTTTTGGTTCCCTGGGGACTTGTAGGACCATTTACGCTTTCCCCAGGAACGTGGACCACTGGTACCAGCACTGGGACCAGAGAAGGCACGAAAGGGCTGTGTTGATGTAGCTTTGCGGAATTGTGGCTTGGAGGGAGCTGCAATGACTTTGGAATTTGTCTGCGAATGATCATGTTCGCTCTGAACGACTTGGTGAAATTTGTCAGGAAAGAGATATTTATATCATCTTTTAAAATTTGCTTGCCAACATCAGTTAGAAATTCTCCAAAACGCTTTTGGCGCCATGCATTTAATCGAAAGTTGGCATTGCCCAGTAGGACAAGGGCATCTTCTAAGTATGCCTTTATTTCATCTGGGTCTGGGCCTTCGCTCTTGTCAGGACTTAGGGGGCCTTCCAGGAGGTCTAACGCTGCAGCAATAGGTCGTGCAACAGCCAGGAAAGGGGCTTGCTTCTCAACGAGGCCATCACCTGATGTGAAAACCTCTTTGGTTTTGTGATAACCAAACTTTTGTTTGATGTATTCTCTTGTACCTAACAAGGGCAAATAATGTTAGCCAATCAGTGCGTTTGTTTACATTTTGCGTTCTTGACCAATCAGAATGCCTGAAATTCGAAACATGTAAACAAAAGGAGTGAGAAAATAACACCTTGTTCTACGCCCTCGGTGACATTCGATATTAAACTTTTTTTGCCAAAACTGACAAATTCTGCTAAAGCATGCTTTCTGCTTTAATTTCCTTGGGGGATTTTTAAAATTCGATCTAGAACGCGAAATATTTATGTTTGAATAACAGTGTTTCGACGCGCGTAAAATAGCAGACTCTCATTTGCACTATCTTTACACACACATAAAAAATGGTAGATTTGGCAGTTTAAACTTATTTTCCCCACACCACAGCTGACATGTTTTTAAATATTACCTATCTGATCTCATCCATCTCATTTCGCATCGGAAATGCGTCACAACGATCCAGGACTGACAGGTACAATATCGCATGACTCATTACTGTACATTAAAAGTACATATCCGGTTGGCAAAATGGCGATTGTCTGACAGACCTTCGCGAAGGGCTTAATATTTTTGCTAATAAACTATTCATGAGGGTTTCGTTCTGTTTCGTCTTCTGGTTCGTCATCAATCGTCATCGGCTGCCTCACTTTCTTGGTCACTTTCGTCCTCTTCAAAGCAAGTCACCTGGGCAATCAGCGTAATATTTGCTGTCTTTCGAAGACCTTCCAAGAGCTTCAACATTTGCCAACGTTGTTGCTTCACAAACTGGGCAATCGCTGATGTTGGGCAGGATGCATTCGATGTGGAACGTAGGTTCACAACCACAGAAAACGTTCCAAGTGGATTAAGCTTTTCGCAGGCAGGCAAATCGCAGGTAAGATTTATATTTTATATTTACAGATCTTGATACATTTATAGTCAGCGTCCTTGGTGATTGTTCCAAAATATGAGTGTGTGCCAAAGTTAAAATATTACTCATAATCTCCAGAACATGTTTGGACAATGTTTTGAATCACTGCAGTTTAGAATTAGCAGTCGTTTTAAAGACAACAGAACTGGCAGCCATGGCACCCCATAACTATTCAGTGTACAATTCCAGACAATGTAAATTACCACCTCCCCCAACCCAGAAGTAGGCTGTTTTTATTTCCCAGCACTGCATAATCAAAATTGCTGGATTGTATAAATGCCTGGCTTTGTCTCAGTGGCCCTGCTTTGCCCCATGAACCCCAGACTTCCTAGATTCAAGCAAGCGGGGACTTATATTGACTGGTACTTAGGTCCTGTTTATATGGAAGCCGGGCTGGCCCGCTAAGTGAGACAGCCCGGTAAGTGAGATCTCGCTGTGTAGTTATTTTTATAGTAAAAATTATTGTGCGTTTATATGGACAAGTGGGCTGGCCAGGTTGCCGAGATCTCACTTGAAAAGAGGTGAGATCTCACTTGAAAAGAGGTGAGATCTCGCTTACCGGGGTGGAAATTTCTCCATATAAACACTCACAAGTGGGCTAGCCCAGTTGCTGGGATGAAAGATACCACCGCAAGCTATTTTTAACAACTGTCAAAACCAGCAAGCCGGATGAAATTTTCTCATATAAACACAAGAGAAATTCATCCCACCTGCCTGTCTCGCTAAGCAGGCCAGCCCGGCTTCCTGCATATAAACAGGCCCTTAGTTGAATTGCAGCACTTGCTGCCTGTGTGTTACTTTTAAGTGTACCCTGGTTCTTTGCAAAGTAAAAGAAACAAGAGGTGAGAATGGAAAGCCTCTGATCATATCAATTGCAAATCCCACTTCCACACTTGAATAGGTTCAGAATTTGAATCTCGCATGTGATTGGCCATTTGTAAAAATATGTCAAACCTGTTTGGGAAATAAACACTACTGTGAGCTAATTATAGCTATCTATCTATTTAGCATGCCAAATAGGGCCGGGTCACCACAACAGCATATGCCAATTACTGTGAGCCCTTTTTACCCAACCCACCCTGTCAACTTTCCATGTGGGAGGAAACTGGAGTACCCGGGGAAAACCTGTGACGTTTGGCAGAGCGTTGCGGTTTATTCTTTTCACATGAGGACTGGGTTTGAGTTGCATTGAGAAAGTTCTCACTGACTTGAACCTACGGCCTCAGAGGTGACAGGCAAGTGCGCTAACCACTTGGCCACCGAAGCCCCAATTAAAAAGCCCCAAGCTATTATAGTAAACTCAACCAAGCATGAATATTAATACTCCCACAGGTGAAAAGGTATTAAATTTCTCAGTTTTGCAGGACATGTAATACATTCTTGGTTGAGTTTAATAGAATATTTTAATACAGGCTATAATTAGCTTACAGCAATGTTTATTCCCCAAGCCAGTTTGGCATATTTTTACAAATGGGCAATCACATGCGAAATTCAAATGCTGAACCTAATCAAGTGTGGAAGTGGGATTCGCAATGGACAGTGACCCTGGGCTGTACACAGCACAGGGGAGGGGGCGGCAGGAGGGGGAAACTGCCCTCCTAAAGAAAACTATATTTACAATTTTTAGAATGTCATTATTAATTATTCTTTGGATATTTGGAACTTTTTTCAACATATAAGCCTTACTGCCCCCTGGTGATACGGCCCTGATGTGACCAGAGGCTCTCCGTTCTCGCATCTTGTTTCTTTCGCCTCGCAAAGAGCCTCTGGAACCAGAGTACACTTAAAGTAACACACACACAGAGCAAATAATATAATGCTTTTAAGGCAGTGAATTGGTAGGGAAATCTTTCAATAATATCCTGTGATTATGGTAAACTATGTACCAATACCAGACAATATAAATCCCTGCCTGCTCAAATCCCAAAGTGTGGGGCAAAGCAGGGTCACCGAGACAAAACCAGATATTTACACACAGATATTTACAGATAGTGACAGTGCTGAGAAGTAAGAACTGCCTACTTCTGGGTTGGGGGAGGTAGTAATTAATTACATTGACTAGTATTGTACACTAAATAGTTATGGGGTGCCATGGCTGCCAGTTCTGTTGTCTTTAAAAGAGTTAAAGGACTGCTAATTCTAAACTGCAGTGATTCAAAACATTCAAACATGTTCTAGAGATTGAGTAATATTTTAACTTTGGTACACACTCATATTTTGGAACAATTTCCAAGGACGTACTGACTATAAATGTATCAAGATCTGTACATATAAAATACAAATCTTCCTTTAAAATTTCCATCGATTTGCGATTTGCCTGCCTGCAAAAAGGTTAATCCACTTGGAACGTTTTCCGTGGTTGTGCACCTTCATCCACATCAAATGCATCCTGCCCAACATCAGCGATAGCCCAGTTTGTAAAGCAACGTTGAAGCTCTTGGAAAGATGGCAAATACTAACGCTGTTTGCTCCGGCGACTTGCTTTGGGGGGGGACGAAAGCGACCAAGAAGTGAGGCAGCCGATGACGATTGACGACGAACCAGAAGACGAACAGAACGAAACCCTTGTGAACAGTTTATTAGCAAAAATATTAAGCCCTTCGCGAAGGTCTGTCAGACAATCGCCATTTTGCCAACCGGATATGTACTTTTAATGTACAGTAATGAGTCATGCGATATTGTACTTGTCAGTCCTGGATCGTTGTGACGCATTTCCGATGCAAATGAGATGGATGAGATCAGATGGGTAATATTTAAAAACATGTCAGCTGTGGTGTGGGGAAAATAAGTTTAAACTGCCAAATCTACCAATTTTTTATGTGTGTGTAAAGATAGTGCAAGTGAGAGTCTGCTATTTTACGCGCGTCGAAACACTGTTATTCAAACATAAATATTTCGCGTTCTAGATCGAATTTAAAAAATCCCCCCGAGCAAATTAAAGCAGAAAGCATGCTTTAGCAGAATTTGTCAGTTTTGGCGAAAAAAGTTTAATATCGAATGTCACCGAGGGAGTAGAACAAGGTGTTATTTTCTTACTCTTTTTGTTTACATGTTTCGAATTTCAGGCATTCTGATTGGTCAAGAACGCAAAATGTAAACAAACGCACTGATTGGCTAACATTATTTGCCCTTGTTCTTGTACCTGTTTCCATTGTAGGAGCAACAAGCACTTCCTCCATCCCTTTTATTGGAGGATACTTTTTCATAAGATCTGACCAAACGTCTTTTGAAAGACGCTTGGTGAAAGCTGTGCTCAAGAAGGTTGCAATTTCTTCAGATAAAACAGTTTCCTTAGTCTCAATATAATACTTGGCAAGCCGACTGTTTAATTGAGATGTTTCAGGTTGTGGTTCACCTTCATTCACTAACGCCTGTGCAGGGTTTGGCAGCTGTGGTGGTGCAGCAGCTGCAAATGCTTCTTGGAGAAGCCTTGGCAAGGTGTTCTGAATCGAACTAGCAACCTGATCAGCGACCAAGGTGCAAATTTCATCAGTAAGTGATGTTCTGTCCGAGCTGGTACCCTGGACAGCTGTCGCCACCTGCGAGGCTTGTACCTGCGGGATGGAACAGTCAATTAGACTGTGTAGTGTAAGTCAGTTGGGTGTATTTTAACTGAAAGCTAATGGTCTGTCCGAGTTGGTACTCTGCACAGATATTTCGAATTAAACCTCTATTGAGGCTTTTCTAAAACCAGCAGGCTAGAATATAAGAACACTATATTGCTCATAATTAAATGCGCCAAATGTCAATAGTTTATTGATAGTTGTTACAGTTGTTTATCCATAAATATTACTTATTACAGTTGTTTATCCATAAATTGAAGGATAATGTCACTATTATGAGGTATACTCTTAAGTACTTGCAAATACAAAATAATTTGTTCAAATTTGTCTTTTCTTAAACGTGTCGATAATATTTGACTTGTGTCAACAACCAAAAATCAAATATTTTTGTGCTTAAATGATGAAACTATTCGCAGTACAACAAGAGAAGTGTTCGCTTACCTGGTTAGCATCCATTTATGTTGAAAATATTTCAAGATGATTAATATTTATAAAGGATTGTGCGATTTTCTTCACTTGGATTTTCTTTTGAGTTCAAACCGAAAGCTTGCCCACAAAATAAGAGGATAGTTAGTGTGCATGTCAAAAAATTTGTGGGTTCCAGACCTCTGCTGGCCGCGGATCTGCACCAGTATTGCGAGTATCAGTCGGAGAAGGTACAAAGGAGAAGTCAAGTTCATCTAATAAATGGTTTCAAGATTTTCAAAATTTTGACGTAAACTCGCTAGATTATTGTGAAATATTGAGAAGCCACTACTAATTGCACCATACTTAAAACCATTTAACATGCGTTTAAAGTTGTGTGGAGAGAAATATCTACCTGATTTAGGTCAGTTAACGTACTCATTAAAGCTGAGATTGTTATCCAAATTTGTATTTAGACTAAACAAGTCTAGATCATATAAACTGGTCAACTTGTCAAGATCTCGTTTAGATTTTCGATGACTTATACCAGTCAATATCCCAAGATACGCAGACAAATTTCCTCTACAGGGTGTCCAAAAAAAAACCCTATGGAAATTCAACAGGCTATCGTGCATCATATATGTGGCTAAACAATTCAATTTTTACATAGGACGAAAGAACAGTTATTTAGCTTTTGAATGATACTCTTTTACGATGAGAAATGGCCACATATACACATCGAAATCAATCACATTCTTCCACCTTTGGGAATTGCATGGAAAACAAAACATGAACAATTCCCAAGAGGGAATTAAAATTGAATGTTAAATTATCTAAAATAAGCTCAACTCTGTCGTCTTAGTGAGACAATAAGAACTTCCATTATTGCATTAAACATGGTTCAATTAACCACTGAACAGAGAACATTCATAACTTAATGTATTTTCAATTTCCAACGGTGGAAGAATGTGATTTCGACCGACAATTTTTATTTGACGAGTATGTGGCCATCTCTCATTGTTATGGTTTAAGAAAGGTATCATAGAAAAGCTAAATAACTGTTCTTTCGTTCTATGTAAAATTTGAATTGTTTAGTTAAGTTTGTGATGCACAACAGCCTGTTGAATTTCCATAGCGTTTTTTTAGACACCCTGTATAGTTAATTAAAATATGCTAATTCACGAAGTAAAGATTTGCCAAGACGCTCTTCTGGTTTGTTACCCATAAACTGTTCAGATGCCATGTAAATAAAGTATAAAATATGCATTAAATAAAAACAGACATATGTGCCTGATACATATACACAAGCACACATCAATACACAAAACAAAACAAACATATAAACTCATCTCTAAAACCAGTTTATTTTGTCCAGATTAGCCCGACTGATTTCAAAACACCAACTGTACGTTTTTGCAAGTCCACAATATTTTGAATACTATTCAACTTAACCACCTTGGAGTCATCCGAATTTCTAAGGTAGATTGACATTCCTTTCACCCAGCAGAACTTGTATCTGTTGGTGGTTCGGCGCTTTCTTGCTTTCATAAAACAACTCCAGCAACCTCGGGGTTAAGTGACTAAAATTACTAATATGATCTACCAATATCCATGGGTGGAAATTTCAGATCGCTCACTGAGATTTGGCTTGTGTTATTTCTTGCGATCGAAACTTTTTCTCGAGCCATTCACCTGACAAATTTGCAAACAATTGGATTGTTTGCTTGATTACCACAATTTCCAGCAGCCTTCTGCATAGGAATTCCATGAGTGATATCAATATCAGAAATTGAGATGTCAATGCCCATAGCATGAAACATATTTACACACAGTAATGCAGTCTCCTGAGAGATTTCTTTCTTATTTAACTGTGGTACACCAACAATCTTCAGATTGTATAGGTCACTATAAAGCAGCATGTCATTTATGGCTTTATCAATTTGATTCACACCAGTCGTTATGTACTCAAGCCTTCGTCAGCTCTTTTTGTGTATCTTTTCTTGAATTTCACCAACTCATCATAGCCATTACTAAGAAATTGAACATCATTCTCATTTGGTATCTTGCTACTCAAATAAACCTTGCGCTTTTCAGCCATCTTGTCTTGCATCAGCTGCATGGACTTGAAATCTTTAGAAAGCTGGCTAATTCGTTTTTTAAGTTCATTGTTTTCCCTCTTTAAAGCTTTTACATCCCCCATAATAATATGAAACAAACACAACACTAATATTGAAAATTTAATCATAACAGACGAAATTTACTGAGAGCTACCCAGCACGAGCACAGTAGCTTTGCGTTATCACATATTAAATTCAGTAACTAGAAATCCATGCATGTAGTAACCCCTCACCAATATTTTCCAAACATTAAATTAATATGAAGTTTTTTAGAAATGACCAACACTGAATGCAGGCTTGTGCTCAACTGTTGCCATGACAACACAATAATATTCTTCAACTTTTCATATTTTTTGTACAAACTATACAACAATAAATTTCCGAAATATATACTGTAGGTATATTATTTTGCATTTTGCGAGCTTTGATAGGGATAGCAGTCAAAATTTCAAATTTACAGGGGGGCTCCACAAGTAGGCTAGTTTGATAGAGCTCGTGATTTAAAACACAATGGTGTTTGTTTCATCAAAATCGGTCAAGGCAATCAAAAGTTACGGCAATTTGAAAATCGGGATTTTAGTCCAATTTTTGGAAGAGAGACACTGTATTAAGGTATTACAGCTACAATCGTGGACAAAACCTGTTAATAAAACTCGCAGTTATGTACATTTTTGTTCAATATTCGTTAATACATGCGCATCACGCCACATGGGCCCCCTCTCCCCCCGGAACAATGTTGCAGTAATGGGTCTATAGTGTGGGGATGGCGAATCCAACATTGAATGGGGGAAAGGGGGGCAGAATGTGGAATACAATTTGGTTAATGCAATTTCATTATGATATTAATTAGTTTTATTAACAGTTTTGTCCACGATTGTCTGTGAAGTGTTCCACAAGAAAGCGCACGTCCATTCGGCCAGCAATGTTCCTCAACATACATGTGTATTGATGAAAACACTAAAAATAATTGTTTACATTATTGGAACATGAAATTGGATCTAGTTTCTATTGATGTTGCAAAATAAATAGCTTAATACTTTCAAGAAATTAACATTATATAATTAGGTTGTTTGTCTCAGATTTATATTACTATTAATACCCTAAAAATAGATTTGTAAGAATGACGTCGCATGCATATTATTAGACCACGGTTAACCACGGTTAACCATTCTCTAAAATTGCATTAGAAACACTGAAATAATACTTTTATATACTTTGCTTTATCCAAGCTGGTATATATGCTTTATTATCTGCAGGTAACGTCAAATTAAGTGTTATATCTTGCCTGGATTTGGCTAAAATACGACGGATAATGACGGTTAACCACTAGAATTAAACACAGATCATACTTTGTTTACTTTATGCAATTTTCGTTTAAACATCATGAACAGCTACAAAATATGCGTTTTCAAGTGTTTTAGATTATGGGTTTGCTTTCTTTGATTGACAAAATACTCTAAAGCTATGGGAACATGAAGGTTGGAAAATAAAACTATGTATATTAAGGGAAAATTCTAACACACTATTCTGGTTGACCGTGGTTAACCGTGAGTTTAATATGACAAAATTAATTAAGTCGATGTCGGGCAAATATTTCAATGCCCTCATGCCAGCGCTCCGACAGCAGTTTGATTCGTGTAAAATACGTTAAAACAACCATGCTGTAAGTTTATTCACATGCGAATTATATATAGCTTCATGAAATAAGAAATAACCGATTATTCGGAACTGAACTTTCTGCAGCTTACACGCATATTAATTAATTAACTCTATATTTCAAAAGCAGGTATGCATTAATAAAATTTATTATATAAAGTCAATATCGAATTCTCTTCCCTTTTCTATTTACAACAAGTTCAATGCGATTACTCATGCTTTCAATGATTTTGTCAATTACAATGTTATCAAAATTGAGTATCGTAGATTGTACTGGTGCGGAAAATTCTTGAAAATTTTCTTTCTTTATATTTTGTACAATTGCATTATTGTTCAGTTGATTTTTAACGAGGTGAAATAGATTTTCGATTGGGTTTAGATCTGGACTACGTGCCGGTATTGATAGTAATTTTGCTCGTATGGATTTCATTGCTGTTTTTGCCGCTGCACTATTTTGACTAGGATCTCCATCCTGCAGCCAGAGACGAGAGCGACCTTTTCGTGCCTTTTTTAACATTTTCGTGCCTTTTTGAACATTTTCGTGCCTTTTTGAACATTTGGGGAAATTCTCTGAGCACCAGATCTTTAAAATACGGCCCGTCTAACTTATTATACTGATCGCATAGCACAACGCCTGCCCCATGGCTTATTGCAACCATCATTTTGACAAGCTTCCCCCCAGATCCTTCGTGACTGCCCTTGGCCGTGCATCCTCTATCCATGCCTTCATTAGGTTTTCTCCAGATTCTGTCTTTTGGTGCTCTGGCCTCGTCCGCTGGATTTGTTTTGTGTGTGAAGCTAACTCCATCCAGATAAAACGCTATTTGCTTTGTCCAAACCTCACTGCTGTAATCCTTTTTCATAATTTTTGCAAAGTTATATCGCTTTCGAATATCAGTCTTACTTAATATTCCTTTTTTCCTTGCTTGCAGATAATGGTATCCATTTTTATTCAAAAAACGCCGCAATGTGCGTGAAGAAATATCCTTTGGGTTTATTCCTGAGTTGAGAAGCAATTTTTTAGAAGTAAAATTGCTATTTTCCTCTCTTAAAATATTAATATTTCGCAGAACAGAGCGTTTTTGTCTTAAAGTCAGTTTCTCAGGCCTGCCACCACCTCTTTCGTTTTTCTGCTTTTGTTTGAAATCCTTTTTAAATTTCTCATTCCATATTCTATATACACTTGGCAAAGACACTCCGCATTCTTCTGCAACTTCTTTAGCTGTACGCATTCCAGTTTTCCCCACTAGTTTTATGTATGCTCTCTTTTCTGCTGAAAACTTTCCAGTAAACACCATGTTTAATACAATTTTTAGCATTATACACTGGATGTCTATGACGTCATTAATTGTACAATAATTACATGTAATTGGTACAACATTTATGATGTAATACTAACGTCATATGGACCTTAGTACATCATTCCAGTACCCTTAACCACTTTTCAAGCGTTCGAAATTATGGACATATCAGTCATTACAGGTCAGACAATCGTGGACAAAACCTGTTAATAAAACTCGCAGTTATGTACATTTTTGTTCAATATTCGTTAATACATGCGCATCACGCCACATGGGCCCCCTCTCCCCCCGGAACAATGTTGCA